CAAATGTAGCATTGACTTGCTTATGGGGCTCACTTTGCACATGTCCATGGGGACAATTGGAAGTAGAATTCAAGACACTTGAACAAGTCATGCAAGATTCATTAGATGCATGATGATGAATATGAGTAGGGGAAGAAAATACTTGATTTGCCGAATTTTGGTTGATCAAAAATTGATCAAACATTTGAGACAAGGATTGGCGTCTATGTTATTGGAGTTGTCAACTCGATATAAGCTGACATTCTTCCTTCCACCTAGGTTTCTACTATTTTTAGAAGATAAGGACCTCTGCATGGAATTTTTACTCATACTTTCATACAATTGCCACACATCATTTTCATGCTTATCAAGATAAGAATCACCCATAGATGCATCAACCATACCCTTGTGATTATCCGGTAAACTTTCGAAGAAATATTGGATTAGTTGCCACTTAGGTATGTCATGATGAGGGCACTTTCTAAGCAAATCATTAAATCTTTCCCATACCTCATGAAACATTTCCCCATCCCCTTAAGAAAATTCTTTAATTGAAGTTCTCATGGCATTGGTCTTAGAAACTGAATAGTACTTTTTTAAGAACTCTTGTTACATTTCTGCTCAAGAAGTTATCGAAAAAGGCCTAAGATTGTTGAACGAATATTTTGCCTTGTCTTTAAGGGTAAAAGGAAAAATTTTAAGTTTTAAAATTTCTTCCGGCATATCCGTGTATTTCACGGTGGAACATACTTCAAGAAACTCATCCAAATGCTTATAAGGTTCTTCACTAGGAAGTCCATGATAATTTGGAAGCATTTGAATAGTTTGTGGTTTAATTTCATAGTGATGTGCTTTAAATGGAGGCAATTGAATGCAAGTGGGTGCATTGTATTCATTTGGCACATAATGGTCTCTTAATGTAATGGGAGGATTCGCAATAGGTGGTGCTAAACGAACACCTTGATTAGCATAAACTATTGGGGGTTGTGGAGCAAATATTAGCCGAGGCATTCCCAATAGAACTTGGCCTTGTTGCTGTGAGTGAATGAATGGTCTATGCATACCTAATGGTACTTGAACATTTTCATGATGCACATTAGGGTGGAGGTTGCCTTGTTGGTCTATGTGACCATGGTCCTCCACATGGTCGTCATTCAAATCCTCCATTAGTGAAATGGAGTGATGAGAACGAGAACTATCTCTCCCCCTAGGATTACGAACAACCGATTCAAGATGCAAATTAGGAGGGACAAGAGTAGGATTCAATGACCTATGACCATACATATACTAGCAAAGCAAATAACAAGCAAGTTACAATCACTTCGCCCCAGTAACAATTCAATCAACAAATCTCCACATGTAATGATCCCATGCTCCCATGCTTAAACAACATGCAAAGAAAAGTAAATTACCTTCACGCGGGCTCACGATTTATCTAAGAAATGAAAAACAAGCTTCCATGCGGGCTGACGATTTAACTAGAGCTTGAGTTAGAAAGATCTCACAAAGGGTCCTTAAGCAACTTCAATTCATTTTCAACTTCCAAACTTTGCTATGCTTTGCATCTTTTTTAGATTTTTAGTCCTTTTTGTGCTTAGCTTAGCTCCTTGCTTTGAATTCTCCTTTGCTTAACCTCCTTGCTCAATTTCACCTAGCCAAATAAGAATAAACACAATAAGTAACCAAAAATAAAATAAAGAAAAGACACGATCAAAAGAGTACTAGTCCCTAATTGTTTCCAAAACACGGCATTGCCAATTAGATCCCCGGCAACGGCGCCAAAAACTTGGTGTTGTCGTCGCACCAACGTTTAAAGATGTGCAAAAGATAGTGAATGTGCAATGTAGCCAAGTTTTACATTTATAAATACCACTACTACCATTAACTAAAAATATAGCAAGGGTGAGTAAGGATCATCCCAAGGGATTGAAGGGCTACTAGTAATGGAACAATGCTTAGGGTTAGTAGGTCGAGTGATCAAAGGTAGGTTGTTTGGTTGATTAAACTATAATTAAGATTAAACAATATCAATATAAAGTAGGTAATTAAAGGATAGATAAAACAAGAGACAGAGATCTTGGGATTTAGAGATCACCACTAAGCATCATCTTTCTCTACACTCAATTCACAATTAATGAGGGAAAGGCATATGTTGCAACAATAGTGAATGTGTGTGGTTGTTTTCACAAGCATGGATGAACAATTAAATATATATTGTCTAAACAACACAATGAATAGCACAATATATTAAACTAAGTCATTAATCCTTCTTTAAGCTCACAATCCAAACACAAAATTAGAGAAATATACTACTTGCATTCATAAGTATGAAACATCAAACAACAAGTATGGATTGTCCTCCCATTTAACAACTAGGTAGCTATACTACATCTAAGCTAACGACATGGAAATTAAACTAAGTAGACTAAGGGAGAGACACAATCCATCAAGAAATGAGTATGAACCATCAAATAAACTACAAGAGCATTCTATTAAGCACTATGTCTTGACAATCTCTAGATCTATAACATCAACACACATAGACATGCATCAACAACACAAGAGATAGAGATAAACACATGAACATCTATTCTAGCATACATAGACATATGGATAGAATGAAATGATCAATTGGAAGAATTAAACCACCAAATCATTGAATAAACAAGATCTATGTATATAAATATGTCAAAACATATATTACAACACAAATCCCCTCAAAAATACATAAATCAAGGTAAAGAAAGCATGCTTAGGGCTAACTCTAGCCCCAAGAGGATGTCTAGCCACTCATGAATGGTGTCCTCCAACCCTCAAGGGCTATCTCTATGGTAGAAGTGCTCTTCTTCTTGAGGAAGATGGAAAACCTCTCAAGAATGTCTCTAGTCTCCTCTTCTCTTTTCTTCCTCTCTAAGAATTGTATCTAAGACTATCAAAAACTATCGATCTAAGCATATGTGTAAAAGTGGCTCATACTCCTTATATAGGTAGTTCAAATGTCACACCCAATGGTCTAGGCTCGTACACAAGGGCTCCTCCAATGATTGCACAATGAGACAACTTTTAATGAGTTGTAGATATATTTTTTTCGGATTTGAGAGGGTTCGATCGATCGAACCTGTTCTGTGATCGATCGAACATGGCTGAGATCTATCAAACTTTGGTTAGATCGATCTTCCAATGGCGGCACCTTTTTGGATAAGGACATATCTTAGATATTTTGGGGAATGAGACAAAGAATCTTTTCGATCGATCTGAGAATTGTTGGATCGATCGAACTTTGTGGGATCTTTGAATAAGGACAAAAGAGCTTGGATCCATCTTGGAGAGTCTAGATCAATGAACTTTCGATCAATCGAAGTATCCTTGTGATCGATCGAATCTCCTGAATTTTCACACTTTGCTTCAATCTGCTTCCATTTTGCTTCTTTCTTCCATCCAGCTTGAGTTAGCTTCTTTTAAGCTCTTATTTGGCTGAATTAGCTTATTTTGGGGATAAGCACATAAAAAAGGAAATAGCACGAAATTAGTCTAAAATGGAAAAGTAAGATAGATAAAGGTTCTAGAATACCTAAATTTAAGGGGTTTAAATGCGCATTTTTCAGCGCTCATCAACGGATGCCCCCATTGAGCCCACTATAGATCCATACTTGATGTCCGTTATATGCGTGTGAGACGGAGAAACTACATGTGCTTGTGAATTTTGAAGTGCTTCTAAGAAGCCTGACCAAGAATTGTGGAGGGGGGAGGTGGAAATTGGCATAGATGGAATATGATTTACTTGCACAACATTTGTTTGAAACCTTAGGTTGGACAAATGCATATGGCCCATTAGTTAGGTTTTCGAAGGTCCAGACTTGGCCCTGCAAATTAGAATGGACTTTTCATTGGGCTTTAGCTGGCGTTTTTTTACTTTTGTAACTTATATAAGTTTTTTAAAAAACAGAACTACAATATAGTAGTAATATTGAAACAATTTATTTATTTATTTTGTATGTCTGTCTTTTGCACATATATATGCCAAAATTTGGTCAGATAAAACAATACTTTCAATTTATAAGTAATTTTGTATTAGATCTCCACTTCCATTAGAAATGTACAGTAAAACTTCTGCGGAGTATTAACTTGCCCTCCAATTATATAATTCAAATTAGTTTATTACATTTAATTCTTTAATAAATATGATAAGGATACACTTTGAATTCACATTGCAGTGTATGGGGAGCTCGGCAATTGCCCACACTAATTTTTTTTTTATTCAATTTTGCCCCACTAACCTTACATCCCGGCTCTGTCCTGAATACATACATACAACTTAGTAAAATTCTTAGTTTAAAACATGTTCTTTTGGGAGAAATGGTGGGAATGGACACACGTCTAAGAAGAGATTTGTTTCTCTCTTCTTCTTCTTCTTTTTCTTTTCTTTTTTTTTTTTATTATTTACTATTATTTTTTATTTTGAATAAATTTAACTTATTTTTCTAAAATTTGTTATTATTTTACATAGAATCCTTTAGATTTCATAATCTTACTTATTTCTTCATCTCCTTCCTAATTTTGTCCTTCTAACGTCAAATAACATCTTTAATTTCGGCTTCATTAGAAAAATATTTTTTTTGTGTTTTCTTGTGTTTGATTGTAATAAAATATTTACGATAAAAAAATATATTAAAACATAACAAAATAACTTATTTATCAAATTTTGATAAACTATTTTACACGTCCCACTCGATAAACTCGACCTCAATTTCAAAACAAACCTTTGCCAAATACATAAAAATAAAAAAAATAAAAAAAATTACCTAAAAATAAAAAAAATATTTCGAGAAAAATATTTATCCTTAGCCTTCATATAATTTATAGATAAAATAATAAAATAATATACTACAAGGGACTAAAGAATAAAATGAAATTTTGAAAGTCTAAGTTGAATTTTTTTATTATTATTTTATTTTATTTTATTTTATTTTTTATTTTGTTGGGCAAGGGGATTTTTATTTTTTTATTTTTCCTGAATCAAGGGGTTTAGTTACACATAATTTGTATCTTCATCTGCATTTGCTCTGCTTGCCTCTCTCTCTTGCTCTCCAAACTGTAACAAAGCTTTCTCTCTCTCTCTCCATCAACTGCCATGAGTAATCTGTTGGGATTCGAAACATCTATAACCACGACCATCACTCTCTTTCCTTTCAATGCTGAATTACCCCAAGCAACTCCCAAAATACCCACCATATCCTCTTCATCCCTCTTCTCACCTTCCAGACACACCCATACCACCAAGCCAAGAAGAACGATTCCCACCTTCAGACCCAGAACTGTCCTTACTTCAATCACAACCGGTAAGTGCTTTCACTTCCCCTTTTGCTATTCATACATATATATGCATAATTCTATCAGCTTAAAATGTGCGCGCACACACACGGTCACTGTTTTTGATTTCTTGGTGTCTTTTTGACGGTTATTTATTTATTTATTTTGGTGTATTGCCTCCGTTTCTCTCTTATTTGGCTAATTTCTGAATAGGTTTATGATTTTTACTAATGGGTCTTGCATAATTTTCTTGCCTAGGACTTCTAGCGAGTAGTATGGCTACTCCACAAATGGAGGGGCAAGTTGAGGTTGAAGTTGCTGAGGGGTGTACAATTACCCAATTTTGTGATAAGATTATTGATGTGTTCATGAATGAGAAACCCAAGCCAAAAGAGTGGAGGAAGTACTTAGTGTTCAGGGAGGAGTGGAACAAATATAGGAATAGCTTCTATAATCGCTGCCAAACCCAGGCTGACGCCGAAAATGATTCTGAAATGAAGCAAAAATTAATTGCACTAGCAAGAAAAGTGAAGAAGGTAAATACAAATTTTATTTTATTATATTTTTAATGTGCATACAGATATGCTTGCAATTATGCATATTTATTTAGGGTTAGGGATAGATGCAAATTTTAGTGTCCCTTCCAGTTTTGTTTGATTAGGTATGAGCTTTGCAGATTGATGATGAAATGGAAACATATACTGAACTTCTTAAGGTGTTACAAGATAGCCCCATGGATGTAAATGCAATCGTTGCAAGCCGGCGCAAAGATTTTACTGGTGAATTTTTCCGTCATCTAAGGTTGCTTTCAGAAACCCATGACAGCTTGGAGGACCGAGATGGTAACAAAATGAGCATTTTATGCAGTCACATTGATCTTAAAATTAATTTGATGGATTGAGATGGATAATTACCTGCTAGTTAATTGTCTAGTTCGGATGCCTTTATTGATCATCCTTTTGATGCTAGTTGCAGGACAACATTTTATTTTTGTGAATGTCTTTTACTTACTTGCTTGCAGCAATTACTCCATTTGCCTCAATTTGTGGCGGATTAATCAAATTCAGGTTAATTTTCTTTTTCTTCGGAAAGCAAAAGGAAAATGAAAGATGCATAATAGTTGCTTTCTTGATGCATGCAAGTGGACTCTTGATGGTACTCTTTTAAGGGTATTTTGATACCAATGGTAACTACATTAGACTATTTTTTAGCATAAAGCTGTAAGGTGTTATTGCAATGCTACATATCACAATGATCATTGATATATACTACTCCTAGTAACAAACTCATTTACTAAACTTGTGAAATGTCTCCAAACTAGTATCTAAACAAACATAGTCTTCTTTATTGGAAATATTTGGATATATCAGAAAGAGTGGACTCGCCTGATTTCCACATGATGTGTTTATCATATCTAGGTAGAACAATTTAAATTAAGGCTAAACAAAGAACCAGTAGTTAAAGTACCTCTATGTCTGATCGTAGCAACATTCTTTAAGATAAGAAAGAGTCTGCCTGAGAAAACCTCTGAAGATCTTTAATTTGTAATTACTGTTTAGCCTCCACCAACAATAAAGTTGTTCTTCTAGTCCATCCATTGGTTTGTTCAAGGAGTCACTTTTAAATTTTAATGATTAGTTTCTCTAAAACAGGGTATGAGTAATCTGTTTTAAAGCCATATGTACTATTACTGATCTGACTTTTCAAAAGGGAAATGATGTAATAAGTGGATGGAGAATAGTATCAGGACAGCGAAAATGGATGGATATATTGTTTGAAGTCCCAAACTCTTTCGATCAATAAATATTGAAAAGTATTTTGGAATCAAATTGAAGATATTTTTTAAAATTTTAAATTCACTTTAATATAATGCGTTAATGTTATTCAGTAGTTAAAGTACCTCTATGTCTGATCGTAGCAACATTCTTTAAGATAAGAAAGAGTCTGCCTGAGAACACCTCTGAAGATCTTTAATTTGTAATTACTGTTTAGCCTCCACCAACAATAAAGTTGTTCTTCTAGTCCATCCATTGGTTTGTTCAAGGAGTCACTTTTAAATTTTAATGATTAGTTTCTCTAAAACAGGGTATGAGTAATCTGTTTTAAAGCCATATGTACTATTACTGATCTGACTTTTCAAAAGGGAAATGATGTAATAAGTGGATGGAGAATAGTATCAGGACAGCGAAAATGGATGGATATATTTTTTAAGTCCCAAACTCTTTCGAGCAATAAATATTGAAAAGTATTTTGGAATCAAATTGAAGATATTTTTTAAAATTTTAAATTCAGTTTAATATAATGCGTTAATGTTATTCAGGAGCATATTTTTGGAAGCATCCTTTCTGGTAGTTGGTAACTATCTGGAATTAAAGAATATTGTTATATTCTTAGGAAAACTAATGCTAAAATAATTTTAAAAATAATAAAGTTTTTGTCCTCTGCTTTGCTAAAAATCAGGATTAGCATGTATCATTTTATCCACCTTTCTTTTCTTTCTTTTTCTTTTTTCTTTTTTTTTTGGAAAGCATCATTTTTTGCTAGATTCTATCCATCATTTTATCCATCTTGCTGGTTACTTTTGAAAAACAGTTTTGCTATTTTGTCTGAGTTCTTCTGTTACAGATCATGCAGCCCTTTTTAATGATTTTCTTCCAACACTTGGATATCTCTGTAAGCATAAAACTGATTCATATCATTCCAATCCCATTCTAAAATATACCTCCTTACAAGCTTTATTGAATTGACAAAATAACCGAAACACTCAACTCCTATTTCATGAGACATGGAATAGTATCAAACATTTTAAATGAAGAGGAATACAAAAAAAAGTTAAGGATCCTTCCAAATACTGATACCGCCACAGGGGAAAGCAGAAAACACAAAAAAATGTTGCATCAGCTTACCGTGACCAAAGATGCCTAACCAAAGTTATTATGGATGATTCAAAGTTGCCATCTAATATTATTCTACTATCTTCTGTGCAGCGGTGGCAAGGCTTGGGGCTAGATGCTTGTCTGCAGTTTCTGCCTATGATAATACACTGGAGATAGTGGATACACTAGACGTTGCCCAAGCCAAATTTGACGATATCCTAAACTCTCCTTCAGTGGACGTGGCATGTGAAAAGATTAAGAATCTTGCTAAGGCAAAGGAACTTGACTCTTCTTTAATCTTATTAATAAACAGTGCTTGGGCTGCAGCGAAGGAGTCGACAACCATGAAGAATGAGGTATGGATTAACCTTCTATTGAGTGCTTACCCTGCTCATTCCATTGGAATTTTCACTTATCTAAAGGTTGCTTTAGTAGATGAAAGCTAGGTAGAGGAGACTTTGATATGAAAGGTCAAATTGACTGGTTTTTTTTTTTTTATTTTTTTGCTTTTTTTAATCAGTATAATCTGTTTAAAGAAGCCTAAAGGAGGCAACCCATGTAGAGTGGACTGTGCTGGGGTTAACAAAACTAGGCTCTAGCCTGAAAGCTCATCTTACCTAGATAATCACATAAGAATCACTGTGGAAAGAAGTATCTCCCTTTTTATTAAAAAAAAAAAAAAATATGAAGAACTGAACATCAACTGTTTCAGCTTAGGAATACCCAATTCAACACCATCAGAAGACCACCTATTTTGCTTCTTCCAGACACTCTACATACGACACCATGGGGCAGCTTTCTGCACCTGCCTAATGATGTATCTGACACACCCCCCTGCCATCAGCGAAAAACTTCATGACTGATCTAGGTATCACCCACTATACTGCAAAAGGAGACAAGAAGAGACAAGTCCTCTAGAAACCCGTGTGTAGCAGAAGGTGATTTGCAGTCTCTTGAGCCTCTTTGCACATGCAGCACCAAATAGTAAATACTTTGACCATGCACCTAGATTATCAAATGGTCTAGATAGTCAACAAGGCTGCTGGCCATGCAAAGAAAGCTAACTTAGGGGACGCTTTGGTATGGAAATACCTTTTCAAGGATATTTGGGATCACCTTCCCCACACTTTCTTATAGCAAGATCTCACCATTCCTAGAATCCTTCAACCCCAGGGCATCCTCTATATCACTGTTCACCATTAACCGGGATATCATAAAATAACTCAGACAGCTCCCACCAACTCTGATTCACAGTCCTACATGGCTCTACTAAACCTAGAGGGTCACATGACACCAACTCTAAAAGTTATTTGGATCTTAAGCTCACGTGACTCGAACTCTCAGATTCATTTGGATCACACTTTTTCAAAGCACACTTTCTTTACATACATATTCATTTACTATTTTCTGTTCGTCCATACAAGTCTTGTCTTTTTCATTGTTTTTATGGGTTCTGGCAAATTTGAATGATATATGTTTGAGGAGTGTAGTTAAACACAATTTAACGTGTTAGGACCTTTAAATGAAGACTTGATGGGCTAATAATATTGTTTTATTTGTTTAGAAAGCTTTGCATTGGTCCAAAATCCATGGTAAGAGTTACCAAAGGGCCTTTGACCCAATGGTATAAACTCCCCTTCCTCAAAGAGGAGGGGAGGGGTTCGAGCCCCACCGTGGGCAAAGTATTTGCGAGTAAACTTACCTTATCCAAAAAACAAAGTAAAAATCCATGGTAAGAGTGTCATACCAGAACTATGGAGTACCAAATTGTCAATCTATTGCTGGACATGGATATTTTTCTCATCTAGTATTGTTCTTGCAAAATATTCTAAATGATACCAGTGGAAAACAAGGATGGAGCCATGTAATGAGTTGTATGTGGTACTTAACATAGATGGATGCCGATAGTAGGTTTGCATCAAAGGGCATTTTTTGCCATGACACTTGCCTGCTGCTCAAATAAAGCTTTATTATCCCCTACTCAAGTTATGTTTATCCTCTGGGTTATTAGTCTACAGATAGATGTCCTGGATGCTTTTAATGAAACATATTTTCAATATCAAATTAAATTCTTAATCAGATGAAAACTCTCAAGGTTGTTAAAAATTGGAAAAAGTTGTATGATAAAAATGCTACTATATATCATCAATCTCTAAAGTTTCATAGAAATCCAATGTCTGAAAGTTATTTCTCAGCCAAAACTAAATGGAAAATTCTTCTGTAAGTGAAACAATAAACTGTCTTAATTAATACAAAAGGAAGATGATAGATAACATCATATTGGACCCATATGCATATGCCTATTGTTTATTTTCTTTTCATGTTGGTTAGTCAGCTTACGTTTTCTGCATGAGCAGCATTATTTTATGTTTTAAAAAATAACCTTAGGGAGTTGTTTATACCTTGATAACAAGAGCTAGTAGTTTGTTGTATGAACTACACTATTCCTGAATTTTGCACAGGTTGTTAGAATTGTTGTTGTACATATTTGGTTTGTTGGGCATACCTCAATGAGGGCTCTATAGCACTGGTGTGCATCACCGTCTAATTGAAGGAATGCAGTTTGATCATCCCATGTACTCATCATTATGGTTTTTATGTTAAATGATCTGTGATGCGCCATTCAATCGTGGATTATCTTATCAGAGGTCCAAATTTACTGTCTTCAAAAGATCAGTTGAGTGAACTTGAGATTATAACAGGAATTAAGGCAAACTATATTCACATTTCATAGTTTTTATTCGTATTCTGTCTTGAATATTTGAAGTCTTTAAATGATTTTACATAATAAGAGATGGTACTATTTGGATTGGCATCTTACTCATTTCTAAGGTTATGAAAATCTCTATCCACTAATTTCATTCTTATGGAACTAGGCACTCCGAGGATAATTCAACTTCTTGTTTGATAGAGTAGAATGCAACAAATGTACAAGCATAAGATGTAAGTTATGCGGACAGTGACTTTGAAGAATGAACAATTGGCATTTTGAGCATGTCTAGATGCTTGAGTTTGGCTATTGAGAGATGTATACAGTAAATCTCACTCCCAAAACAGAATATATATATATTTTTAAGTTGAGTTTTGGCTTCTTAGTTGCCTTTACCTTGTTTGCCATTTGCTTGAGTGCTAGTTCCCTTTTTTTTTTTTTTTTTTTTTTGGAAAGAAATTGTTGAGCTTAGACTTATAACTGCAGGTGAAGGACATTATGTATCGTTTATACAAAGCCACAAAGAGTAGTATAAGGAGCATAGCACCAAAAGAAATAAAGCTACTTAAGTATTTGCTGAACATCACAGACCCTGAAGAGCGATTCTCAGCATTGGCCACTGCCTTCTCCCCAGGGAATGAACACGAAGCTAGAGACCCTAATGCTATATACACGTAAGTGAGCTTCATGCTTTCCCTATCATGAATTTTCATTAATTATTAACTAAATATAGATGAAATATTTTGTTTTTAATGGTGGTGGAACAGAACTCCCAAGGAGCTGCACAAGTGGATAAAGATCATGCTTGACGCATACGATCTTCACAAAGAAGACACTGACATTAGGGAAGCCAAGCAGATGACTCAACCTATCGTGATCCAGAGGCTCTTCATCCTTAAGGAGACAATTGAAGAGGAATACTTGGAACAAGGCATTAAATCTGAAAAAGACACCAATTCAGAGGAGTTGTAAATTGTAAGGTACTTTTGTTCTTCATCACTAAATCTATGTCAGCTTTCATTATGCACTAGAGGTGACCATGAATTTACTCTGTTTGGGCTTGACTTGATTGTTTGTGGGTGCAACTCGAGCTCAGCTTGGGATCATGTGCTCAAAAAGCTGAGCTCAGACTTGGCTCATTATGATTTTGAAAAGTTTGGGCTCGGCTGGGCTCATTTTAATAAAACGAGTTGAGCTCTATATCATGTACACAGGGTTCGGACCTAAGTACACGAATTTTTTTTATTACTAATATGCCTTACTAAATTGTTCTTTTCCAGTTATAAACCTCTAAAATACTAATATGCCTTGCTAAATTGTTCTTTTCCAGTTATAAACCCCTAAAATATTACTATTGCGCCCCCGCCCCCCGCCCCACCCCCACCCCCCCCGCGGTGACTTAATGGTCTGGGTCCATCCTTGCATGTACACGTTCAAGTTTGGTTTGAGCTTGTGTTCACGATCGCTTGGCTTGTTTATTAACACAATATTTGCAATAATAAAATATAGACACATTTTATTACTATCATTATATTTTAGTTTTATATTAGCAATCATGTATGATCCTACACCAGTCTATGTTCATGAACATGAATGATCCATACACGAGCTGACCACAACAATGTTCGGGATCAACTCGTTCTTTAAACAAGCCTAGAAATTGAGCTCGAGTCCAGTTTGTTTACATAAATGAACGAGCTCCTCAAGTTGATCCTAAAACGAGCTGATCACGAGTTGCACATGAACAATTCGGTTCTTTTGCAGCCCTAATACTTGTCACTCCCAAACAAAGGCAAAATACCAATTTGCTTTATTGGCAATCAACATTTGTCCAGTTCTATTTAAAAATTCATGGGAGTGTTAATTTGTCGCTTGTTTTTCTCGTTGCAGACCTTTTGTTGAATGGTATTGAGCAATTAGTTTCGGCAGGTCATTGTGGGTTTAGTCCCGCCTATGGACCAATCATTGGTGCTCCATTATAGACTAAAGTCTAACAATGTAGGCTCATGTTACACAATGCCAAGTGGCATATTTGAACAACTAACAGTTCCATCTATATAACCATTAATGAAAAGTTTCGTAAAGCTACAACACTAATATTTGTACTTTTGAAAACAGAATAAAAATTAGACTCTAGCTTTTGTTATGAATTTTACCATCACTAAGTTCTAATATCTTCATAGTTTTTAATATTTTAAAATTTTATTGTAACTACTAACTATATTTGCATGCATTTCTATCACACACATGCCATACTTTGTTCAAGGGTACAACTTTTGCTTGCCTTGCTTAGGATTTTAGGAGTTCTCAATGCCATAGTGCGGTATGAGCAATTTTTTTTATTACTAATATGCCTTACTAAATTGTTCTTTTCCAGTTATAAACCTCTAAAATACTAATATGCCTTGCTAAATTGTTCTTTTCCAGTTATAAACCCCTAAAATATTACTATTGCGCCCCGCCCCGCCCCCCCCCCCCCCCCCCCCCGAGTTCTCAATGCCATAGTGCGGTATGAGCCATTTCCACCTTTTGCTTAGCTTGGCAGGAGAGTTGGAAAATTGGAGTTAAATGAAGGATGAAGAGAATATTAGAAAAAGGAAAATGCATTTCTCACCTTTTCTAGGTTGAATAGGAAGATGGAAAAGTTGATGTTTCTTAATTTTACCATTATACTCTTGTGAGAGATCAACCAAATAATGGCTTTCACTACTTCACAAGAATGCTAAAATTGTGAAAGATCATTAAGCATTTTTTATATGTTTGAATAATGAGTTTTCTTACAACATTGTGAACTTCATAGACATGATATTGAAGATAATGAAAACATTTTCTTTAACAGTCCTATTCCTTTCCGAATCTGGTCTTAAATTAGCAGCAAATGCGGTCTGCAAAATTTTTAATTTTATTTTGGTTAGGTAAATACTCACACACCCACAAATGCCCACCATGGGGCTTGAATCCCTCACCTCCTCTTTGAGGGAGCAGAGGTTATTACCAGTTGGGCTAATGCCCAGTGTTAAATATGGCCTGCAAGTTGGTAACAAAACTTGGGATATCCTGGGTTCATGAGCCGCTTCTTCATTGAAGGGTAATTCTTTAGCTTGGGGTATTCCTGCAAGTTTAAATGAATGTGTATAAAAGACTGAATGTGCTTGACAGTGTTGGTTTCCCTTTTTCCCTTCAAATCCACTTTTTTTTTTTATTATTTTATTATTATTATTATTATTATTTATCTCCTCTCTAATAGCTTTCATCTTCATCTGTCATCTTGATTTGCTAATGTCATGTTTGCAGAGGCTTTGGAATATTTAACTGGTTGCGCCGGCGATGTTAATTCGAAGTACTGCATTTCATCAGCATTTTCTGTAACGAATGGGAAGTGTATATAGTTAGTGGCTGAGGATAAGTGTGTCTACTCGTGGGAACTCCAGACAAGGAAAATTGTTCAAAAATTGGAATGTAACACTGATGCCATCATATCAGTGTCATGCCACCCCCACCAAGAACATGACTGCGTCTGGTGCACTTGGAAACGAAAAAAAAACAGTGAAAGATCTAGTCTCTGGAGGACTGATTTGTTTCTCTAATAAACATTTTGTAACATCTCTGCACCTGCTGTGATTGGCATTGCCACTGGAAAAGACTCAAGAAAGTATCAGGGGAATGATTGATCTATTCTTACGGTGACCAACTCACCGCACTCGCGACATGAAATTCTTTCCTCCAGGAGCTTTGTTTTTCATGTTGATGGATTCGGGAACATTGCAAATTTGAGGACAATACACTGTATGCTTCAATTGCAAATTTGAAATAGCTCGCGTTGCTTTATATATGCATCTCTCTGTCCATGCATTTCTGAAATTCTTTCGATGTGAAGTTAATGTTGCCCATATAATTTTTTACAGTTTTACAAATGTTACGCGATATCTTGTGAGTAGTCTTGGTGCAAGTATTCATTGGCCGGAGGTACTATATAGTTGGTACTCCGGGTTACCCAATATTTTTCCGATGAAAACTCAAGTCAGATTATGAAACTCAAGTTGGTATCTGTATCATGACATGTCGCAAGGTATTTACTCTAATCTCAGTTGATTTGTTAATTTGGTATTGCGGGACATGTCTTGGTAGCAATGTTATGTATAAATGGATACATTGAAAGATGGCAATGAAAAGGACTTAAATATTATGTTACTAAAGAGTAAATAATCCAACTGTAACTTTATTTTACATAAATAACATCTTCTCCTAAAAATATGAAAAATATAAAATTTTCTTGTATTTGGAGTTATTCGGAATTAATAAAACTACTTTAGTTGTCGCGTTTCTTTATTTGTTTGTCTATGATCATCAGATGATTTCGAAGCATCTCAAAGTTGTCAGTGATCATCCCTGTTAGAATTGATGATAAATCGATGATTTGGGAGTACATGTTAAAGTATCAATAATCCTTGTTAGAGCATGCCTTCCTTTTCTAAAAGTGTACAGCCACATCAGTAATTGATTTTACGCTTATTTTGGAAACTTCAATTTCTTAAAGCATCTTCAGTGGTCTATAGGGTTTTGTGTAAAGTATACATTGCCACATATAATTTATAAATTTTTTTCATCTCCAACAATTTGTTAAAATACACTGCAACTCATCAATGTGTTAAAGGGTTGTATACTCTACACAACCTTTTTATACAGTCACGTAAGCATTATCATTGTAGATTATAGGAATTTTTTAGATTTTTTATCCTTTTACATTCTATTCTAATAAGATAAATATGTACTAACAAAAGATTATATATATATTAATCACGATTTTATATAATTGTTGTTTGATACAGTTATACAAATTATTTGTTTTTTCTTTTTTGTTAATTAGTCAATTCAATCATAATTGTAATTGCATATTTTTGGTTTATGTAGAAAGTGAAATATAGGGAGAAATTATTATTATTTTTTCTTAATTGAGGAGGATTGAGATGTGAGATTTAATCATGAAAAAGTCAGTGTAAAAGTTATGTAGTTGGAACTAAAAATAGGTTGTACAAAATTTTTGTATAAATTTACTTTGACACATCATATTTACACAAATATATATATACAACGGTTAGAGATGCTCTTATTGTGTACTCATTTTTTCATTTTACACTTTATTGCATATTATTTTTTAAAAATTGAAATAATTTTTTTAATTATTTTTTTTTTGTTTTTTTTTTTTTTTTTTTTTCCAACGATTTTATTCTCAATAATTATAATACTAAAGGTTATAGTTGTTTATTCGGATTATATGTTTAAATAAAAGATTATATTAGAAAAACAATATTAAAAAACAATAATATTATATATATAAAAGAAAAAGTGCATTACAGCTTCCTACAAATAAAATAAAACAATAGTCAGGAAAAAAAAAAAAAAAAAAAATACATAACCATAATTATTTTACTCACTATCACACAATATATTGTTTTTTCCATTTTATATCATTATCATATACAAAAGCCCACAACTCCACGCGCCACTCCCTTCCTCCGGAGTGTGAAGTGTGTAACATAACGTGGGCCCACTTGTGTGTAACGTGCATACTAAAGACTTTCATTCAAAATACTGTACATATTTGCTTTGTGCTGGGTCGCTCTTACAATTTACAATAAAAAATTATTACAATTTACGATAAGAAAGTATTTCAAAACGATACGTAATTCTTTGCATAAGGTTTGAACGGAAAATCAAAATAATGTTTAGAAAGACTGGAATTTAGAAAAGAATTAGATTCCATAGGATTTGAACTTCCAAAATACAATCTACTCAAATTCTATGAAAATTGATGGAATTTGTAAAATACTTAACTAAAGAATTTTTAACTTACCCAATTTACCCTTCTTTCTAATAAAACATGATATTGCAATTAGGATAAAATGATGAAAGAAACCTTTTCTTCATAACTAAATTTCATTTCAAATCCAATCGGATTTCTTTTTCTTTTCCAAATCAAAATCCATTAAAATAAAAAAATAAAAAAATCCACCAAAAAATAATAATAATAATAATAAAACTTGCCACTACATAAACCCAGTTCCACCAACTACTCGTTCTGTTAACCATTGGAAGACAAATACTTGATTCAAAACAGTGGTTCAAAAATCAGAGGCATTTGGGTATTCAAACAAATGATGGTCTTCTCTTGGCTATGCTTTTTTTCCTTTTCTATATGATGGCTTGACAGTGAAAATGGCATCGAAAAGATTAACGTAGCCAACACCACATAGTTATGTTTAAAGCAGTGTTGACCCAGCAATTTTCTGGTGATGATTCATTTTCAGAAGCTTATGACTCTCACAACCATTAAACATTTCGGTGCTGTCCTACATAAGGAATTATCGGATTCGTGTTTTGTTTGCAAGTACTTTTCTCGTGTTGCAAATCAACTGTTTGATGAAATTCCTGAGAATAGAAATGCGTGGGAACTTGCCAAGAATGGCAATGCTCGTGAAGCATTGGAGTCTTTTCGCAGGATGAATGAGTTTGGAAAGACACCCACGAAGTTCATTCTTTGTAGCACTCTTAATTCTTGCGCGAAAACGCTGAATCGGCACTTGGGTCTGCAAATTCATGCTCGATTAGTTCAGACCGGTTATGAGGAGAATTTGTTCATAAGCAGTGCGCTTGTTGATGTTTACGCAAAGTGTGGTGCTTTGGTGGATGCAAGGAGGGTGTTTGATAGCATGAAAAGGCATGATCAAGTATCCTGGACTTCAATTATATCTGGTTTTTCACAAAATGGGGATGGAAGAGAAGCCATTTTGTTGTTTAAACGAATGTTGGGTACCGAAATCAAACCTAATTTCTTTACCTATGTTAGTGTTATTAGTGCGTGTACAGTGCTGGAAGGAGCATTTGTATGTGGTGCATTGCTTCATGCTCATGTAATTAAACTTGGGTGTGGGACTAACAGTTTTGTGGTCAGCTCTCTAATTGATTGTTATTCAAAATGTGGGCAAATCGATCAAGCTATACTGCTATTTGATGCCACCACCGCGAGGGATAACATTCTACTCAATTCTATGATCTCAGGGTATTCTCAGAACCTATGCGGCCAAGAGGCATTGACCCTGTTCATGGAAATGAGGAATGAAAATTTGAGTCCAACCGACCATACTTTAACTAGCATTTTGAATGCTTGTGGGAGCTTAACAGTCGTCCAGCAAGGAAGACAGGTCCATGTTTTGGTCATTAAAATGGGGTCAATTACCAATGTGTTCGTGGTTAGTGCTTTGATAGATATGTATTCAAAATGCGGCAGCATTGTGGAAGCTCGTCGTGTTTTTGATGAAACGATTGATAAGAACAGCGTCTTGTGGACTTCAATGATCACTGGGTATGCTCAGAGTGGAAAAGGGTTAGATGGTTTGGAACTTTTTGATTATTTGGTGAAGGAAGAAGGGGTTGTGCCGGACCATATATGTTTTATGGCTGTCTTGACTGCCTGCAACCATGCTGGGCTTCTCAACAAAGGGATTGAATATTTTAACAAAATGAGGGATTATGGTCTAGTTCCTGAGTTAGATCATTATGCTTGCTTGGTTGACCTTTATGCAAGAAATGGATATCTAAGAAGAGCGAAGGAGTTAATGGAGGAAATGCCATTTCATCCGAACACTGTAATGTGGAGTTCCTTTTTGAGTTCTTGTAAAGTGTACGGTGAAGTAGAACTTGGGAGGGAGGCAGCATTTAAGCTCTTTCAGATGGAACCAGGTAGTGCTGTCCCATACATAATGCTGGCAAATATTTGTGCCGGAGCTGGTTTATGGAGCCAAGTGGCTGAGATTAGGAATTTGATGAAACAAAAGGGAATAAGAAAAAGTGTAGGATGGAGTTGGATTGAGGTAGATAAGAAGATTCATGTTTTCTCAGTGGGTGATTTATGTCACACTCAATCACAATACATCTATGCGGAGTTGGATAAGCTGAATCTTGAAATGAAAGAGGCCGGAGGTATGCCCAAACTGATACAAGATTTAGAGGATTTTGATGATGAACATGTCTAATGATGTACGGATTAAAATAAGCAGCATTTCACGAGATATTTAAATTTAGTTAATGATCAATATGAGTTGATATATGCTTAGTGTTGGTAATTGAGATTTTAGTTTCCTATGGTTAGAAGATCATCTTTGACTACTAAGGAGATTGTTGGTATTCTCTTGGTAATATGGCAGTGATGCTGGGAAATGCCATTTATAATCCTTACAAACTCTAATGGAATGAAGGGGAGAAAAGAGTAACACTTGCGATTGAAATCTTCTTTGCAGATTTTCCCAATCTTCTATGCAGTTAGCATCGTGAGTGATTCCGTGTTGAGAGTTTGTGCGCAGTGGAATGGTTGTGGAATAATATGGATAGATAATTTAAAGAGGATGGTGAATAGTTTAACTTTCTCTTTTATCTAATTTTTACTTATTTTAATTTTACCGAAATAAAAATAAAATCAAACCACAAAGTAAAAATAAAGTGCAACTAAAGTAAATAGAGTTTGAGAGATGACACTAGGATTTTAGCGAAGAAACTCTAATTGGTAGAATAGATCAATTGTAACAGGAAAAATCTTATTGCAGTCCTGAGATAAACAATCCACTATATTTGAAGCAAAGTATACTGAACTTTGACTCAGTCTCACACTCTATCGTTCTACCAAAAACCAATTGTTGACAATCCCTGGCTTTGCAACTCTTTCCTAGCAACAAAGCTACTTTTAGGACTTGGACAAACTGTTGCTGTATGTCCAACATTTAATCTCAGTTCCTTTAGACTCATCTTCTCTCCTTTTATCTTGTCTCTCACTTCCCCTAGATGAAAACTCTCTATTCCTGAACTTTGACTCTCTCCCTTTCTTAAATGCATTCATCTTTTCATACTTGATCAAAATTTTAAACTTCTTAGGGATGAGAACAATTTCTTCATCAGACTCACTATCATACCTAACCTCACTATCATACCTAACCTCAGACCTGAAAGACTCAGACTTTGAAGCTTTTAGGGTTTAGGGCTTGCTTGGATTGCGTTTATAAAAACAGTTTTCAAGAACAGTTTTCAAGAATAGTTTTTAGAAAACAGTTTTTAATTTTTTCAGATTTCAGACCTGCTCGGTTAAGAGAATTTACAAAAAAAATTTCGGAAAATAAAAACTGATAAAACTACTCGGTTGTATTTATTGAAAATAGTTTTCTGAACTAAGAAAATAAATAAAAATATTATTGCACCTCACTATTTTATTTCTATTTTATTTCTTTAATTTAATTTAAGATATTAACTACTAATGTTAATATAAATATATATTTAATTAAGTGTTAGAGGTGAATTCATTTTAGTGAATATTCTTAACTTAATAAAAGTTGCACAAATACAATATATCAAATTTAATTAAAATTTGACTAAATTTAAATACAATAAAAGAATTGCATGAATTACTTCAAGGAGTTGCAACCACTGAAAATGCTCTTGAATGTTAAATTAAGACGTGTGTATCATACATGGACCAAGTGGCCAATTTACAATAGAGATGTGCTCTTGAATGTTGTATTAAGATGTGTGTATCATACATGGACCAAGTGGCCAATTTATAGATATCAAATGGTGATTGCAAGAGCATCAATTCTAATATAACACATGATCCATTTGTAGTTTGGTGATGATGACAGATTAACATTTCTAACCAACAAAGAAAACCCTAACTTGATCAAGCAGGATAGGACCACAAAGCGAACCAAAGTCATCTACCCTAGTGTGATAGTATGTATAAGATGATGAATGTTAGTCTGGTCCAGGCTGAAATTGCTTTGAACTTGAAACTAGCGGTCTTGAACCCTTGGATTTGAAGGAACTTTTCAGGGTATCTTTGGCGGTGAATGCTTCAATCAAACAACCAAGGAGTGGGGATATGAGATCCTCCAGTTTGGGAGGAAGAAGAACACCATTGGAAGAGTTCATCAACCTATGGGAACCTTCCTCAAAACCACCATTATTCACCAAGTTGTCTGCAAGAAATCATTAGCAATTATTCGATGTGCAGATTGAAAAGGAAAACTTTTTGCAATTGCAGCATGAATAGGTCATTAGATCTACAACATTGGTTCTATAATTTTGATTTTTAAGGTAACAGAAGGAGAGTGGAAAGAATCTAGTCAAAATAATTGAAAGAATTATAACTTAAGAATGAAATTATGCAAGAATAGTGCTATAATTTTAGGGTAAGGTTAATGTTGTAGATGCATTTGCACTTTCAATTTAAGTATAGGACCCAATAGTTTTTTTATTTTTTATTTTTTTGGCTGAAACAATGAGGTAATAATAGACATTGGTACCAACAGAATAAGTGAACCAGAGGATCAGAGCATTTTTTTTAAGATGGGTATACGATTTTCATTAATTTCACATATCATACTAGGAAAGTAGTAAAGAAGGAAAATTTGACGAATAATAAGATGAAGGAAGAATAAAAGCTTGATTATCAAAAGGGTAGTAGAAATATTTTGACAATGCACAATGATGTCAATCAACAAAACAATCAGAAAGAAATGATAATGATCAACAAGAAAAAGAAGGAAAAAAAAAGAGCATAATGTAGAGCTTATTACACGCATTGAAATTTATTGTCCCTTCCTAGGGTTGGAGATGCTTATTAAAGCAAATGTAAATGGGGAAAACAAAAGCCAATTCATTTATTAAGGTCCAGAATATAATGGTCCTTACCTAAAAACAAAATAAAAAGTAAAACTAAAAAAAAAAAAAAATCTATAAAGGCGTACCCAAAACCAATTCTGTGTTTCTCTAAATAAAGCAAAAATGACATACAAGAGATCCATTTGCATAAACTCATTTTTAATCAATTGGATCTCAAACTAGAGTTTTGAGATCAAGATTAATTCACTATATAAATAGTTCAAATAAGAATTTACTTCCAGATGACAAGTATAAGGCAAGAATATATATTTTTTTTTTTTTTGCAAATATCAACAATCCAACAATTTTTTATGATTAATTACGAAGATTATTATGGTGAACAACTTTAAATATTCTTATGAAGGAGCTTTAAACAAAATTAAAATTAACTACCAATAGAGTACATAAAAACAAAAATATAAAAAGAAACCTTGAATAGAAAACAAAATCCACAATTTATATAGAAAATCACAACCAAATCAACAATTTATATAGAAAGTGACAACCAAATCCATCCAATCAACCAAATCGAAAACTAACAAAGAAATCCACGACTAACAAAAGAAAACCACAACCAAATATTGAGCTGAGAGAGATCTGGACGAATTACCAGAATAGATCGAAAGTCTTCCAAGTAGTAGATCCGGAGCCCAACACCCATGTGAGTGGGAACTCTAGAGAATACAAACCAAATCAAACCCTCAACCCAGATTAGATATGCTAGAAAACATCAAAAACCCCATGAATCGTAGAAAGGGACAGGAGAGAGGGTAATCGTAGAGAGAGAAAGGGGAGAGGGTAATTGTAGAGAGAGAAAGGGAGAGAGGGTGTGATGTTTGTTCTTCATGAATAAAGAGACCTTCAAAAACCGTAGATCTGTCTTCTCTGTAGTAAGAAACAATCTTGAGAGAGAGAGAGGCAAGTTGCAGAGAAATGTTGGAGAGAGACGCAGCGCCTTTGTTATAAGCGACAGGGTATCACCGTATTTTTTTTTAAGTCCAATATCAGTTCTCCGTGTTTTCAAAGTAGCGCCCAGTTTTCAGAAAACTATCAAAACGGTTTTTTTTTGTTCTCATAAAACTGACACTCTGAGAACTCTGTTTTATAAAAACTGTTTTTAAGAAATAGATCCAAGTAGAAAAAAAAACTGTTTTTAATTTTTGTAACTCCCAGAACAGAAAACTGTTCCGAGAGTTGCAATCCAAGCAGCCCTTAGGTTTTTAGGAATTTCCATAGTACTTCGTCTCATAGTTCTTAATATGACCTATAACTTTATCAACTTGCATGATAGTGATGTTTTGAGTTGCTTGCAGTATTTCAACTTTGATTCTGAACTTTTCAGGCAAAGACCAAAGAATTTTCATGTTAATCTTCTTATCTGTCACTTTCTTTCCTAGGTTTCAAAGGCCAGACACATTATGTTTGAGTTTCATGTAAAACTCAAAAAAGTTTTCATCTTCTTCCATCTTAAGATTTTCAAATTGAAACACAAGCATCTCAATCTTTGAAGATTTGACTTCATCTAAGTTGAAGTATATCCATGCCTCTGCAATTTTACAATGAGTATTACGAGCTAACTCAAATTGGACAACAGATTTGAATAAAGAAAACAAAGCTTTGTCATTTCCTTCTTGATCATTATTTTCAGCCTGAGTCTACTTAGACAATGGTAACTCTATCCTTTGTGACTGTAGGCTTTTTTATAACTTTTTTCAATTGCAGTCCAAACAAATTTATCTTGAATGATAAGAAAAGTTGTCATGTTAGGTTTCCAAAAGGCATATTTATCACCATCAAACAAAGGAGTATGTTGAATGGATCTGCCTTCCTTAAGAACGCTATCCATATCAAATTTTGAAAATAAAAACAGAGATTTTTTTTAATTAAAAATAAAATAAAATCCACAAGGAACAACTCAATGTATAGAGGATGGCTCTGATACCACTTGTTGAGAGTTTGTGCGCAGCGGAATGGTTGTGGAATAATATGGATAGATAATCTAAAGAGGATGGTGAATAGATTTAACTTACTCTTTTATCCAATTTTTACTTATTTTAATTTTACTGAAATAAAACTAAAATCAAACCACAAAGCAAAAATAAAGTGCAAGTAAAGTAAATAGAGTTTAAGAGATGACACCAGAATTTTAGTAAGGAAACCCTAATTGGTAGAGTAGAACAATTGTAACATTAAAAACTTTGTTGGACTTTGCAGTCCTGAGATAAAGGATCCACTATGTTTGAAGTAAAGTATACCGAACTTTAACACAGTCTCACACCTTATCTTTCTACCAAAAACCAATTGCTGACAATCCCTGGCTTTGCGACTCCCCCGTCCAACAGCTCTCGACCTTAGGCTTACTCTCAATCTCTGTAGAAGAGTTGTAGGTAGATCAGACAACACTCCATGAATGCTCTGACCCTTTCAAAGTGTGATTGCTTCACTCATTTTCTTCTAGATCTGAATTTGACAAAGAATGAATGAATTATGCTTTTTTAGAATTTCTGAATCTTTGATTATGCTCCAATTCTAATGAGATAGAGAACACTCCTAAATTACTCTTGTGTTTATATGTGTGCTCTAAAAAATAAAATCAGATAAATCAGATTGATTTTCTGCATAAAAATATCTCTCAAAGATGACTCTCTAATAGATCTGAATTTTGTATACAAAAGCCGTGTATAAACCTAGATGACTATTATGGTTTATATAGAGTTTAGAATGACCTAGTCCTTCTGAAAATATGGAAAAATTCATGCATAGGATTTAGTACAATTCTAGATTAACTAGGAAAGAAATTTGAAACAGGAAACTAGAAGTTGTATTGCTATTAGGACTTCTTGAATCGATTCAAGGGTACTGAACCAATTCAAGATTGGCAGTGAAAATTTGAAGCCAATCTTGAAGGTCTTGAACCGGTTCAATGTGGCTGATCTGGTTCAAGTCTAGCAGACTTGAATTTTCAGGCTGAACTTGGTAAAAACCCTGTTTTGGAAATTTATAAAAATATACCAAGTATGGAATGTATCATAACCTTTTTAGATTCCTTCCTAAAGTGTTGTTCTTACCTTTCTCGAATGATCTCAGTTATGGTAACTTTGAATAACCTTCCAATTCCGCAGTCACTTTCGATTCCGATACAGTAACTTGAATTTACAACTTGACTAGGATTTGTTTTGACACCAAAAGTTGTCAATTACAGAATATATATATTTTTTACAATCTTCCCAATATATATATCTCATAATCTGCCCCTTTGGCAATTTCGTGATAAAACCCTAAAAACAATATGTAATCTACCTAAGCAGAAAAAGTAAATTACAATGAATTGTCAAAGAAATACAACGGAACTCTTCTTGAATATCATGAAGCTTCAACACATGTAGCAACCTGTAATCTGCATATTAGCTCAACAAAACTACCCGTGAAGCTTAATCAAGAACGATAAACAATCAACATATATCAATATGTGAATATCAATATATATATATATATATATATATATATATATATATATATATATATCTCCCCCTCAATTCTAGAAACTCTACTGCTTAAATATGCGCACTTCTCCCCCTTTTTGTTACAAATTGACAAATAAAGCTCAATCAAAGAAGGAAAAGAAATAATGTGGGAGAAATAACATGAAGAGAGATCAAAACTATCATCCATGCATAAGGTATTGCAATAAGCACAAAAACATGATGATATATAGTAGCAATGGAACCAAAGACAAGTATCCAAGATAACACATGTTCCTCCACAAGATATATAGAACCCATCATGCTCAAAATTACACACATTATATCTCCATCCAATCAAAATTGAAAATTCCTAATAGAAACTAAAAGGAAAATCTTTTTGGATTTTTCTTTTTTTTTTCATTTTTCAAATTTTTTTTTTTTTAATATTTGAAAAAAAAAACTAATGAGATAGCAATTTCCATGAATTTCAAGCATACATGAAATCCAAAAATTTCTGAAGAATTTAAGAGAATTTAAAAACACAAAATTTTTTAAACACCATAAATTATCCAATCAAATCAATTCTCAAGCATGCAATCACAACATGAAACTCAACATGCAATTTTTATAAAAAATTAGAAATTTGCCTAATAAGTTCACATGTGTGTGTGTGTAATCCAATTTCATCAATTTCAATTAAATCACATAGATTAACTTTCCAAACCATATTGATCGAAAAGTATCAAGATAAGATTGTTTTGAGCAAACTTTTTTAAGTAAGACGTCTTTCATCTCTTCCTTTCTTTTTCCTCAAATAACTCCTCTTCAAAGTTTAATAGGAGTTTTTGAACTATTCTCAATAGGTAGCCTTTTCCTTAGCAAAGATTTTCAGCATTCTTTTGATTTTTCTTTTCTTTTTATGTTGAATTTTTTCATTTTTTTTTTAAACACATGCTCTTTTTATTTTTAAAAACAATAATCTTTATAGCTTTTATGAGTAATATGACCTAGTCAACTTCACAATAATTTCAAATTAAATTTCTCAGAGTTGGACTAGTGCACTTGAAAAATATGAACTCAAGAAACTCATCTCTAAAAAGAAATAAATAAAACAAATTGTTTCTCAAAATATAGATTATACATCAATAATCTTTTCATCAAATAATCATAGATGAACGCTAAATATTACATATTCGAGTCCCTAAATATACGTATGTTAAGACCTAAAGTAATACTTCTATCCATTGTTAGACTGATTTCTGTGTATTTCGTATTTTTAGGTACTTTCCCAAAGAAACGGTTAAAACCGGGCTTTTATGATGAAAAGAATGATAAAGAAGTTTATCGAATCGTTGCCGGTCATTCAATGCAAGTTGAGATTCAAAATGATGAATTTTGGGGAGTTTCAAGTTCAAAAGCTCGAGCCTCAGTTCCATGGCTTAAGCTCAGCAGAAAAAGATAAGAAATTCCAAAGGCAAGAAAGCTCGAGCCCTGACCCTCAAAGCTCAAGTCTAACCACAAGGTGCTCGAGCCTTAGCCTAAGTGCTCGAGCCTTAGCCTAAGAGCTCGAGCACATGATGCATCATAATTTGAAAAGTTGATCTAAGTCCTAGGACCTTGTGCCAGACCTCAAGAGATCGAACACTAACACCTAGAGCTCGAGCCAAACACCTTAGGATCGAGCACCATGAAGAAGGGATCGAGCACCATCAATAAAAAGACATTTCGAACGAATTTTGCTCCCAGAGCTCGAGCCTAACTCAGAAAGCTCAAGCACAAACACTCAGGGCTCAAGCATTGCTGAAAACTCTGGACTTGCTTCAGTATTTTAGGCATAACTTTTGACTCGAAACTCCAAATTGAGCAAACTTAGTTCCTCTGGAAAAAAGACTCGAAGCCCAATGTTTTTATCTCTAATAGCTATTTCGAGATTCACGCTCTAAATGTGTTAAAATCGTATTACAACATCATAATAAGTTGCTGATAGGTTAAGCTCGAGCCCTAACTCCAAAGCTCAAGCTCTGACGTCCTAAAGGTTAAAAAAATACATGCGGCAATTATATATTTTAACTCCTCTTTGTTTCATTATGGGCCTAATTGTTACCAAAAGCTATAAAACCAATCCAAAGGGGATTGGGACTTGTTCTCCACTATAAAAGAAGAGGAGAAGACATATTAAGGGGATCATCCAAAGATCCATCAATCTCTCTCTCAAGGCGGCTTTTAGGGTTTTGAAGAAGAAAATCCAAAATGAGTTTTGGGTCCATGACGATGAAGACCACAACAACATAGATGATATCTTATGTTGTCATGAGTAGCTAATTCCTCTCTTAGGGCATTGATGTAGCCCGAATCCGAATACTATAGTTTGATTGTTCTATACTTTGGGAATTTAATATAATTTGTATTTTGATTGCATGATTATGGGCAATTGACTTAATTCAATTAAATTTTAATGATTACATAGTTTTTGAATGATTAATACCTTGTCTTAGATTTAATTGTTTTTAAATTATATTCAACCCATTCTTATTGGACGATATTTGGTGGAGGCTTATCGGACGTAAGAATGGAGATCTTGCAATGGTGTTCAAACGTTTTTCATGAATGAATGTGTTCATAGTCTATGCTTAGGGAAGACGAGTTATACTGCAAAATTAGTTAGAAATAGGTAGGTAGATAATGCATGCCAACCGAAGATAGGTTATAGTTAATTAAAATTCATGGAACATCTTTTTTTAAATCTAAATTAAACGAATGTTATTGAGTTTAATTCCATATGATACATAATTATTGAAATCCCAAGGTTGAACAATTGACCATAGTATGAAATTCGTGGTGAAGTCAATCCCTAAGTA